TTTTTCAAGCGAAAGTTTGATGATCATCTAAATTTTTTTTTTGTATCATCGACACTTATAAATTTACAGGTGATTATGTATTGTGTTATATTATATTTATAAAAAATTTAAGAGGTAGTTATATAATAATTTTGGACAATCTCGGGCGGTCAGATACTTATGACCGCTACTGTAGGTCTATCCATTAACATACAGCTGTTACAACTGCAAGTTAAGGAATAGTTACCAGCTTCATCGCTAGTTGAATGGCCTCACAAAAACTCAAAGTATTTTAACAACTAGATTCTAGCACTTTTATATGACCTCAAATGCTTTAACATTAACTTATCCTTACCAGAACAATTTACTCATAGAATACAAGGTGGATCCACTACAATTTAATCAATTATTCCATAAGACTACAGGAAATCAGCCCTCTTCTTATCCAAATATTTCCTAATGTTTGTGAAGCAATTAGTAAGCTAAGATGAAAAGTCATTATATACTGCTAAAAATCTAAGATATTTGTCATCTATTCCTAGAAAAGGACCGTCTCTGAAATAGTACCTCAAGGCTAAGAATGCATTTAAATGTTGATAAGCTTAACTCCTTACCTGCAACTACAATATACAGACAAAATGCACTCATAGATTCCCAATACTACCCTTATAAGATGAAATAATAGTCTATTTATTTGTTATATATTGGAACTGTAACGTCAATATAATAATAATAGATCATGTTCTAAAGATAGTAGACAGTTTTGCTGATATTATTTATTATACGTATACTTATTCTACTAAGATATTTCTGTACCAATGTGATGAGTATTCACTCAACAGATTCACATTATTTAAGAGTAACTCTCCTGAACTCAAGAAATACAACTGTATAGTGATCACGTCTTTCAGCCTCTATGTAAAAATCGTACTTAAAGATACTTAGAAGTACCTGATCTTCAATACTTATGAAGAATATTGCATTCTACATTTTTAACCGCTTTTATAATAGTATCTTCTAGTTAACTCTGATTGATTTTTGCCACCCTGCATCTCCCATATTAATATCAAAATTTATTATGTTACCGCATAGTCAAAAACTACTAACTCTTTCACAATAATTTTCTGCTACCACACATTTAGAATTTTATACAGATAGTTTTCTTACAGGCTTGAGTACTCCTTTTATAAGAATGGATATGGCTTAACTGCAAACAAATCTATATTTACCTATAGTCTCCTTTCATTTGCATTAGTTATTATATTTCTCTTATTATTAGTAGCAGAGCTAGCAGCAATTTTTACTGCTGTCCTTATTACTTCACGAAATTGCTATATTACTATCATAATAGATTCACAAGTTGTGATTAAACAATTTCACAATTTCAAAAGAATTTTGTGTTTTTCTCTATCCACCAGACTCCTGTTCAAGATTAATAATTTTTTGATTTGGCTGAGCCTTTCGACCTTTTTTACCTTAGTAAAAAATGTCAATAATACTACAAATACTTTAGCAGTTTGTAATTGGTATATAACTAAATATAGTAGTTAGAAGCGACTCAACTTAAGTCTGAATATTATACTGCAAATTGTATGTATTTATATCATAGTTATTTAATAAAATACTAAAATTTTCATGAATATAATACTAATGAAAAGGTGCAAAGAATTTTAACTTTACCAAATTGGTAAGTATCCTAATAGTTGTTTAGTATCTGATTTATTATGCCTCTAATTTTTAATGTTGTTAATTGATACATAAATAGGATGAAGATTACGTTTTCTCAATATGTCAACATTAATAGCATCTGAATATAATATTATTGATAAGATTTGGAATAATATGAGATAATTTTTTCTGTATTTTCTCACTATATTCCAGTATTTTGTTCACTGTATATTCTTTTTCCATCATGTTATATATATATTAATATATATATCATATTGTTAATATAAATATTAAAAGCTCAATAAAATGAAATAATTACCTTAAGCTTTTCAAAAGTTAGCGCAAAGTTTCGTGATATATCAAAAATAGATAAATATTTTTTATACAATTTATAAAGATCAATGATAAAGATAATATTCCTTATTATTATAATCTATTATACAAGTTTTATGATATGTCAAACATGATAGATTCATATTATCCATATATATGTATTCTTGTTTGATAGATTTTAGATCAAGATTTGTGTGTTTATTAAAAAATCTTATTATTGCATTATCTGTCTTATTACTAAGTTTATGATTTATAACTAATACCATTAAATCACTATATGCTTCATTTGGATAATCTGTATTTATTTCAGATTTAGATTTAGATTCAGATTCTTCTAAAGTATCTTTCAAGATATCATCAAAGACAGATTCTTTATTATCTGTTGAAAATAAAATGCTTTGAATATCACCTTCTAAAATTGACATGCTTTGATTACCACCTTCTAGAATTGACGTGTTTGGTTACTACCTTCTAAAATTAACATACTTTGTTCACCACCTTCTGGAATTGATGTGTTTTGGTTATTATAATTCAAAAACTTTGATCATTTTCATTGATTTCAATGCTTTGATCATTTAATGACATGCAATTTGAAGATTTATTGCTTGCAATTTTATGCCATTTTGTTTTGGGTGGAATTTTAATGCTTTAAAGTTGAAGTTCTAATTGATTCTGACTTTATGTAAATGTAGACATTTTTGTTTGAATATCTATATATTTATATTGGACTTTTTTTTTCGATTGATATAATGATATTGTTCTTCTAACAATCAAAATATATTCATTAATCCTAATACTAAATCCAATACTAACTTTAATAATAATACCTCAAACAATTTTAATTGGGTAAAAACCTAATATCATTCATTCTTGATTAAGTTCTCATTGTTGAGTTTTGATAATCAATTGTGGCTAAAATTTATGTCTTGTAAAAAAAAATGTATTACCATTTTATTGATATATATATATCTTTTGTTTTCCGTGAATTTTTTTTTATAAATTTTACAAAATACTACACTAATTTGGTTTATTACATAAAGAGAATTTCGGTCACAAAAATTTTATAAAATTTATACTAGTTACATTAACGTATCCTTCTATATAGGGAATGGTTCTCTTTATATTAGCGAGATATTTGTGAACTGCTATCTAAATTAAATTATAATAATTTATGAATCCTTTCTTTTGAAAGATTTCCATGAAGATGAAATAATTAAATAAAATCGCTGGCTAATCCACTTATCTATATTACATTCTTATGAGTGAATAATTAAGTAAAAGAAAATTCCCTTAAGATTTCAACATTTTTAGAGAGCTCGTCCACCACTATAGTTAGATGAATCAGCAAAGGCAGCTTGTCTACGACGATAATGCTCGCGCCATTTACGCCTTCCATAGGTACTATATAAAACGACAATAATACCAGCTCCAGCAACACTTCCGAATATAATTAGACCGATAGATGTTGTCATTTTCATTCCTGACAACTCATTTGCTTCTTCTTGCTTTGCTTTTGGAGATTCAGGAGCGGAAGATGTTGGAATAGTATTAGTTTCTGCATTAGTAGTATCATTTGTTCCTTTTTCAGCATCAATATTATTAGGAGTTGATATTTGTACAGGTGATTTTGGAGTTGAAATTGGACTTGCATCGACCGGTTCCTTTCCATCATTACCATTTGTTGGATTCTTTCCGTCAACTGTGCCATCCGGATTTTTGGGATTCTTTCCGTTGTCAGTTGCGTCATCTGGATTCTTGGGATTCTTTCCGTTGTTAGCTTCGTCTTCCGGATTCTTGGGATTCTTTCCGTTGTCAGTTGCGCCATCCGGATTCTTGGGATTCTTTCCGCTGTCAACTGCGCCATCCGGATCCTTGGGATTCTTTCCGTTGTCAGTTGCGTCATCCGGATTCTCACCAGTTTGAAAATTCAACCCATTATCAACGAATTTAGAAAAAGGAATGATAGCTTCTTGATCTTTTTTTAGAAAAACTCTCTTTTGTTGATCGTTCCCAACATTTAATTTAGACGGAGAAATTTCATCTGAAGTAATCTTATTCAAGGATTTATTCTTTGGAATTTTACCAGAAATATAATATTTTTCAATGGAAAATTTACCATCTTTTCCAACCGATTTAGGACTTGTCTTGGAATGAAAGTAACCTTCATCATCTTTAGTCCATTGACCATCAACTATTTTAGGATCAGAAAATTTAAGGCCCACATCAACTTTTTCATCACCCGTTTTGTACACGGATAATTCACCAATAAATTCACCCGAAGCTTTATTAAATTGAGCGATTTGATAACAAACATAATAACTTTCTTTTCCTTTAAGCTCATTTAAAGCGGATTTACAACGACAATTAGAATATTTTTGCCATTTCATTAACATCTCCTCTTTATCGTAAGGTTCATCTTTGCAATCACGATGTTGATTGCGTTTCTTTTCTTTTTGATTCTTGTCTTTGATACATTTTGATTTTTGTGATTTTTTAAAATCCAAAGTACTTTTGTACCAAAATTTACTTTCACATTCACGATATTTCTCGGAGAGTGAAGAAGTGGCTTGAGTGTTTGTAGGAAGTAATGCACACAGTGCAAACGCCAACAATATTCCTATTAGGTTTGTTATGCAATTTTTGATTATTCGTGCCATTTTTATTAATCTAAAGTGGTTATTTTGTGATTTATTTATTTAACAAGTCATGCACCAGCATGAAGCTGTCGGTAATATTTTTTTTTTTTACAAGAAATTTTTTATAGACAAGTAACAACCTTGATTCCCCTTTATTTCCTTTTGAAAATGAAGGGTGAAGGACAAGGTAGAATATATATAATGGAAAGAAATGTGAGTTGGTTTTTCTCTCGAAAGACGGGTTTTATATTATATTTTATTTTTTATCGCCAAAATTGAGCGTCAAATAAATAAAATTAAAATGAACATGAAATTGATGAAATTAATGAAAATGGAGGGAATGGTTATGGAAGGGATGGAAACGAGAGAAAGGTAAGAGAACAAAATTACAAACGGTTCTAATCTACAAATTATCCATTTATAATACGAAGTACCACATCTTTTCTTGACATATCTTTTATGCCATAAATAGAATATCCCAATTAGTGAAAGGCATACCTAATATGTTGAATAGTTAATTAATAGGATACAAAATAATTAAAAATCGTCATCAAGCGGAAATTTAAGCGGATTTTCCGATGCAATTGGTTCCTAAACAAGGTTATGCGTGGAATAGGCATTTTGCATTTATGTTTCAATATTTTTTTTTTTTTTTTTTTTTTTTTACTTGGTGATACTCTTTAATTTGTCAAAAATAGAAACAAAGATATGCATTAAGCGGAGAAGATATTATATTTGTACCATGCATATTAAAAAAAAAAAAGGTTCCGCATGAAAGTTTTGATAAACTTAAAAAATTTAATTAGTTTAGTTTCACTTTTGAAACAAAAAAAAAAAAATATATATATATATTTTTTTTAAGGTTGAAATCATGTTAATTTGATAAACATAATGAAGTTTGGTACGACCTATTAAAAGCTGAAACAGATGCACCAAAGATGGTTAATTACACAATGGGGGGACAATGTTTCATATTGCAATATCAATCTAATGTTACCGCATAAATTCAATCAAAAAGAATCCTCTTTTGATAAATAATTTAAATGTACTCCTGAATTTTTTATTGTTGGATTTGGACAAAGATCTCTTTTACCATCTTTTTAAATTGAAAATTTTAATCGAATCTTTTGATTCGCTCATAACTTCTCTTACGATCGATCAAAGGATTTCGTCTCAGACAATCAATTTCTTTTTTCGCATTGTCATGGTTCCGGTAAATTTTCCTGTTACCCTACATTTCTCTCTCATAGATTTGGGATAATGATTAAAAGCGAAATTTGTAAGATCAAATCATTTCTTTGGTTGAACATTATAAAGGGAAACACTTTGTTTGATTAATAATCAACCTTCATGTATGATCATTTATTAATTTAATTAGCAATAAATGAAAAAAAAATTAAAAGTATGCAAAGTGATATTTTTGGAAAATAAAAAAAAAATAAGAGAACAAGTTCATTTCGTTAAATCCGTATTTGTCGTACAAAGTTGCTACGTCAAGAGTTAAAATCCTTATCGTAGGACTACGTGATTCTTATCTATTATTGTTTCATTACATTACTTTTAAATATTATTTTAGATGTCATCATATATTGTTCACATTAAGCGTTATGTTCTGATTTATTGTCATGTATTTTTATGTGCAAAATATTCATTTTCATAATCAATTTTTCGCAATGATACAATACCTTTCTTTGCATTTATACATACAATACTATCAAATATTTAATGTATTTCAAGCTTTTTTATTATTTATGTTTTGATATAAATAATACAATAAAATTAAAAGCTATCATTTAATGATAACTTTTTGATTACATAAAACTTAACGTTTATTTCGGCCATTGATTTCTGAATAATATTTCAATGAAAGTTTTTATGCTTCGCCCAAACTTCTGTGTTATCGCCCGAAGCGTATGATCGGTTACTATTGTTTGGTTTGCGTCTGAAATTGGTAATTCCACTTAAAAACTATTTTTAGAACCGTCGATTACATACATGTATTACAAATTTTTTTTTTTGATTTTTTAAGTGCGTGATTATGAAATGATTATTATAACATAAAATTCTAAAAATTCGAATGTAAAAAAAATTCATATACTTGTAAATTCTGAAATTGAGATTGGGATTCCAATTTCAGACACCTTTTTTTAAAGCGTAGTTAAATCACGTGAATTGATTTATCACGTGATATAAAGATGATCGTGATTGGTCCGTAGAATGATAGGGCTGAAAATTTTATATCTGTAAATTTAAGTGAATTTAATAATTAAAGGTGTTCAAATTTAAAATTAATAATAATCATCAGAGTTTTTTAAATAAATTTTTTATAAATTATTACTAAATATTACAAAAAGATTTTTTATTAAAATTTGAAATATTTGAATTTAGAGATTTTAATACAGTTGTATCTTCTTATAATTATACAGTAATATATTGACTTTTAAAGCAAATGTATTTTTAAAGAGGTATTACTATGAATGTGATTATAGAGAAGAATATTTTTTATAATTTAACTTATTAAAAATTTCAAATGTGTAATTATATATATAATATACTTATATAAAAGTAACTATATAGAAATATAATTATATCCCTATTTTTTTTAATACTCCAATATTTATTATAAATTCTTTCAATTAATTTTATTATACTTAATCTTTGTTATTAGTCCAGAATGAAGTGAAGGATTATATATATCTATGTAAAGTGTCTTAATGTTCGCTTACTCAAAATTGAGTCAATGCTAATTGGCTTTTACAATATTTTTTTAGTTAAAATCATTCTAGATTTAACAACAGTTCCGTTACCCAATTTTATTTATACAAATTTTATAACTGTTTTGTAATTTTTTCAAAATCAAAAATAACTCTCACAACTCTTACTAGTTATAAAAATTACTATTAAAGTCAAATCTTAATTCACAACGTATATAACAAACCTTTAAGAAAACATTTAGGTCACGATATCACTTACAATAAAATAGCCTCTAAGTATTACTGGTCAAATATGTATTAAGTTATTAATAATTAGAAAAAAACTTGTAATATATGTTAATAATAAGGAAGACCTAAACAAATAGAACTGTTACACCTACTAGTTAAATAATCATTTAATTACAGGCCTTTGCCAAAAGTCTCTAAACGTCATCTTTTAGCTATTCATACTAAATACATTATATAATTATATAATACTGCAGTCATATAATGTATCTGACCTTGTTTACTTGAATCAAAACCAAATAAAAGCGTGTTTGATTCGTTTATTTTGATTTTAACCAAAATAAAATTTACCTTTCGAAAACTACAAAAATGTTCAAAAAATAATGCAGCAGTATATATTTTGCCATCAATATAGCAATAGTTACTAGACTATTACTGCAAATATTAATTGTAGATTTTTAATAATATTTAAAACTTTAAAAAGAATGAATGATACTGGAACTGTTAATTTGAGGCTTCGTTCTGGTTGATCATCCTTAATTAAGATTCGCAGCAAAGCCAGCTGAAGCGATTTGTCACAGCAAATTCAGGCTGTGATAAAGCAAATAAAGGCCTGACTAAGTACTAATTATTTAGTACCAAATGTGTAGTATATCGTACATTAATAAATAAATTAATAAATTTTTTTAATAAACTTTAAAATTTTAAGTTTTACATTGAGCCAAAAAGCGTATAGAGACTTTTAGTGGGGGTCTGTATATTAAAATATATTATGTAAAACCTCTTTCTTGAACTACTAAAAGAAATAAATATATTATAGTTATTACTAAATATCTTATCAAATGGGTAGAAACTGCTGCAATTCCTAATTGTACTTCTCAAACAAGTGCACAATTTATTTATGATAAAATAATTTGTTGTCATAGTATACCAAGAAAATCTTAACTGATCGAATTATATCTTTTAGAATAAATTAGTTGTTGTACTCATGCATATCGTTAGAACTAAATATAGATTATTATCTATTGATTTATAATTGCAACACCCTTTTTCTGAAAGTAACCTTCCACAAATAATGCATAAACATTATCAGTTAATTTCTAGCTAGTTAGAACAAAGAAGACTTGATACATAATAAAACATTTGTAATATTAATAATAACAATAAGAACGTTACAACAAAGTTACCCTAGAATAAATTATCAAATAGGAGACAAAGTGTTAATGTTTAATGTATTATAATCATATATACATAATAACAAATTATATATAATATTGTATGATCTGATAATACAAACTGCATGTTATAAATAGATGAGTTAGAAAGAACCCAGTACATACTGATCACTTGAAATCATATTTGAAAAGATCTAAATAGATATCACAGATTATCATTAGTTAATCATACTTCTTATAAATATAGACCTATTTAAGACTTTAATAAACTATTTGGTAAACTTTGAAATGTCAATACTAGACAATTTAAAAATTATATTGAAATAACTGAAGAATATAATAGATTTCTCAACTACATATGTTTAGACCTTAAAATCTTATGAAACTAATATATTTTATTGTAAAAAATGCAATTAATATATTGAGTTCTTTTATGATTAATACGTATAAACAATCAACTTTTATTACTTATTAATTTCTTTTATTTAGGATAACTTTTTGATGACAAAACTCTTACTCTTACTCAATGTACTCTACAGGCCTCTATTATTACTACACATTATTATCAAACTGCTATACGAGTTTTTTATTTATTTGAAAACTTTAGAGTCTAACGAATCTTTGATACTCAGTCACTTACTTTGATGATGATCTGATGTTTAAAAACTATCAAATATCAAGCCTTAGTAATTGAAGCCTTAAATCTTTCTGCTAAAGCAAAAACTTTAAATGAGAAGTAATATAATCAGATTAGATTGATAAACGTGATGTAGAAGATTGCAGATCTAAATGTTAAACATATCAAATATATTTGACATATAGGATATATTTGATAAAGCTAATATAACTGATATATTAGATAAATAGAATATATTAAATATATTTAATATATTAGACATATTTAATT